TAAGCCACATGAGTTTACATTAACCATAAAAGTCTGATATTGAATCTCTTCAAAGCCAAAGATTTATAGGATCTAACAGAATTGTTAAACAGAAAACTGCCTCGTTTTAATTGAAAGCTTGCTATCTGGCTTTCCTTAACTTTTATATTGTGTAACATAGCACATACACTGGTGGCCAAAGCTTCTTAACACAATATTTAAAGATTGCAGAACTTTATTCCAGTTACTCCAGTTACTTATTTAATCGTCCAGTGTATGATATTTGTAAACATTCTTTGATTGTTTACAAACATTACTGCCAGTATTCCTGTAGAATTTTTTAAAACATTATACCAAAAATGCTAGGTGTTTCCACAATTGTGGCCACTAGAACAGTTAATGTTTGCCAGCAGAGCAGCATATAATAATTTCACATACAGAATGGAGATAAAAGCGCTTAGATCCCTAATCAGATGTTATGGCCAAACCGTTCAGCAAGAAGATCCGTCCCAGCACTAAATCTCCCCATAGCTCCCCAAGTGCTTGTTGGATCCTGTCCCTGTCACCCGTGCCCACATGCACGCCCTCTCTTGGAAGGATGCCACACTACCATAGCAAGGTTCTCACAAAAAAAAGGCAAGAACAGCCTGTTACAGCAGTGGGTAGTCTATGCCCTGGGCTGGACTGGCTGCCTGGCATACCGGGCATTTTCCCAGTGGGCCGATACAGGGGGCGTGTGGTGGAACCCAAACCATGCCCCCTCTTCACCCCAGTCCAGCTCTGTCTATGCCAACATCCACAGTTGGTAAACTGACAGGATCAGCTGGGTGCTGCTTCTTACAGCTTCATTCCTGTCAGATACCTCAAAACCCCCTCTGGCCCCATTACAGCAGGATACTGAACCACAGCCATTCTGCACTGCAACTCCCGACATACCCAGCCTGGCGTATAATGAGCAGTGTGCCCTCATTAAAATAGCTATGACAAGGCAATGCTAAGAGTAACATAGTACAGCACATCTGTATCGAGTGAGAAATGACTCAAATTGTGTTATGGGGCCTGTGTATGAGGAAGAATTTTGAGATCATTGGTGACACACCACAATGAAATGTGTCTGCAGTATTTAACCCAGCAGGGGGCAGCTAATTCAGTGCCCAGGGAGCAGTACTTCAGTGGTGCCTTGCTGGTCAGGGATTCAAACCAGCAATCTTTCAATTACAAGCGCGCCTCCTTAACCATTAAGCCACCACTGCCCATCCATAGACGCAGCTGTTTGGTGAAGCTTTGAAGAAGGAGGGACATGGCATGTAGAGGGGAGGCACCAGGCTGCATCACACACCTGTAGTGCCCATGGACAGCACAGGCCAGCATAGCTATGTTTGTTTGTGATGCGGGGGGGGGGGGGGCTGACTAAGGTGGTTTGCAGAGGGGGCTGCAGGTGAGGTAAATCTTGACTTGTGGTCACACAGTGGGTGAGAAGAGGTGAAGCAGCGGTCAGAGGCTAGAAGAGCTATTGTCTTTGGAGTTAGCGAGATCTGCAGCGTCACAGATACCCCAGTACCCAGGCCAGGTGTGTGTGAGGAGAGGGAGGAGCAGGCAGACCCTGCATCTCTCACTGCTACACCACTCAGGATTCTCCATTCATATGTGTGTGTATAATTGCCATTGTCGTCGATAATGACCAGCATCCATAAATGGTACAGAACAATGCAAGCTTTTCCTTTTACCTACAATGCTGTACCATTTGCAGCCTTTTGTGGAAATTCTCTGGCCGTAACTTTTTAACACTGACAAACGACTTTAGGCAAATTTCACATTTTCAATCCATGCAAAGAATCTCAGAATTTAGAATACATGCAATAAATAATGAGGAAAGGGGCAGGGTCTTAATTCCAGCACGCAGTTATTAAGGGCAAATGTTGTGATGGTTTGATTGAATTACACTTTATCTTTCAAGTAGTGGATGTTTTGAACAGTTACAAAGGCTGTGAAACATTCACTCCTGGTGCCATTAAAAAGTCAATTTTCACAGATAATTTACACTAAACACACAAACAGCTGCCCAATGGTCACCCATTCAGAGTGACAGGAACGAGCCGTTGAGTTATGTTAAAAGTATAAACATGGGAATAATGCAGTGGCAAATAAATTAACATTTGCTAGCTATGTAGGTATGTAATAGCTATGTAACTGTAGCTAGCTAATAAACATCATTGTTAATTGTATTTTGTTGACATTGACATACCTCGTTGACAACAATCCATGTAAATCCATCCTAAATGTTTAACCATTCACTGAGGGCCGTGTAAAGATTCTTTCTTATTGGGGTGCTAAGGATCATTCCATTGATTTAGGTATATATTGAAACACAGGTTCTGAGAAAATGCATATTTTCACACTCCTGAAATAATGGATTTCATTGGACAGTGATGATATGTTTAACCACCTGTGTTCAGAGAGGAGCAAATGTGAGAGATGTGGTGGGACGATTACAAAGGATGACGTATAGATACGCTGATCAAGCGTATAGTGGCAGCCGGAGTCACTGGGCTCAGGATAAGCCGTGACGTGGTGGTGCTCGACTTCAGCTTTGTGACACTTAGTTGGAAGTGAGGCGAAACAAACAGGGCACCCCTGTCTGCCCTCATGATGAAGAAGCTGGGTCAGTGAAGCCAACCCTTCAGCCTTCCAGTCATTCTCTGGCCCCGTGTGGTCATGGTGGAAGTTTGGCATCTTCTTCAATGGTTTTAGTGTAGGAACACACTCACTAGGGATTAGGGGTCTATGTTTATAAACATTCTTTCAAGGATTTCTTAAAAATTCAGATGAAAAAGAAATGAGAAATGAGTAATTTCCGGTTGCTTCTACAAGAATACCTCTTTTTTCCCAGCTCTTTTCCCAGACTGTTCATACTGTTACTCACTATCATAAATTTCCATCCATCTTCCATAACCTCCTCTTATTCATTACAGCAGTGTTTCCCAATCTGGTCCTCCAGAACCCACAGACAGTCCACGTTTTTGCACCCTCCCAGGAGCAAAAATGTGGACTGTCTGGCAGGGAACTTGGAGGGAGCAAAAACATGGACTGACTGTGGGTTCCCAAGGACCAGACTGGAAAACACTGCAATGCAGGGTCATAGTGAGCCTTGAGCCTATCCCAAGAAGGTCAGGCCATAAGGCGGGGATGCACCCTGATTGGATGCCCTTCCACCATATGCCAGACACATGATCATGCACTTTGGGTAACTTAGAGATAGAAATTCACCTGTTTTAGCTGAGGGAGGAAACTAGAGAATATATAGGAACCTCTGGGTGAACCCAGAGAGATCCTACAAACAGGGAACTGGGGTTAGAATCGAACCCCCAGTCATGGTGGTGTGAGGCTCTAGTGTCAGCCAACATGCTACTGTAACTCTAAACATGCTTAAATAAAACATAATAATATGCAATGCACCATGTAACAGTAAAATATCTGTTTGCCAGATAAATCCCTCACAGATCAGGTCTCCTGCATGTATCACCCCATTCCTGTCCTTTCTTCACACCCATAAATCACAGATTAATGATGGAGGTGACCTCGTAAGTTGTGAGGGAGTCATAACAAGGTCTCTGAACTCTAAATAACATTAATTGTAAATTCCCCTTTTGTTTGGCAAGTCAGAGTCGACATAACATGTCTACCATAAAACAAAACCAAATTATTAAAAGATAATAGATGTAAGAAATCAAAAGTCATTCAAAAGGATTATAAGATGTACTGTAGAAACACTATGTGCTGTGTTAACCTTTTCTGGGGCTATTTTCATTTCCACCTCTGGCCTACAGAGGGCCACCCTCCCAGCAAAATAACTGGGTTCTAATGTTGAGGATGCCCAATCACTGTCAGTTAGTGGTAAATGCTGTTTGCTTCTTGAAACCTTTTGGACCGGCATGGTCGTTCCTTCATCTTTGTCCTCCTCTTTATTACGATCTTTCTCCCTATGTCATCTTTTTCTCAAGCACCCCTACAATGGAAAATGAACAGTGTGATATATAAGGAATTCATAACCTATGAAACAGGTTTAGGATAGTAACACCATAGAAGGAAGTGCATCAGTTCAATACCTTGAGAGTGATTGGTTTGATGTTCAGTAGTTGGCTGTCTTCATCTGTTGGGATGTCCTTTGTGTCACAGTACAAGGGTCCAGTGATCATGATGGGTGATAACAGAAGCTTCCTAAGGACAAGGTGCAAGCCATGAGCAATACTTTATGCACAGTGTTGAAATGTCATCTGTCTTGATTAAATATTGTGGGCTTCTTAGACTGAAAGCAATAGAGAACTGAAATGAACTCATATAATTCTGGAAATATTTTCAGCATATGTGGGTTCTTTTTATTTCCACAGCTAACAAATAGTCATCCATTGATTTTAATGTTTTAACTGGAAAATGCAATGGAAATATTAGTTTCCCATGAAAGTATCTCCTGATATTGTTCTATAGATATTTTATGCTAACTTGCCCCATTCTGTCCATTTCTGCTTCCTGTTGTCCAGACCATTTTATTATATATCTTAAACTAAATTTCTAATTTTCAGGTGTGTGTTACAATTGTGAGTGTGAGACACAGTGAAATAAGGGAACAAGGTTGATGACACCAACGCACTACGGGCAATTTATAAACAACAATTCAGCAAACTATACGGTTTAAACAAAAAGTTGTGCCTGCAGCAAACACACACAAGAAGAACGTGCAACCTGCTCCCTTTAGAAATAAACTTTAATCATAATTAGAAAGCTTAAGGAACAAAACAATTAATAAAAGAGATGAATTTACAGTATGCGCTTTCTTTAAGAGTGGGCAGAATGTGATGAGAATATACTGCGAGGATTAGAAATGTTAGAGACTCTACTGGTGTTACAGAACGCCTTATCTGGGATACACACAGCTGGACGTGCGAGCACGTCAGCATCTCCAGGTGAGATTTCAAACATAACCACATTCCTGCCAAACCCTCTAATCTCCCATACACCTGAGGGTGAGCACGATTTGGACACCCAGCTAAAAGATAAGACCAAGAGTTACAGGTATTCCCTGTAACACAAACACTACACTGCCCTTGTGCAAAGCTAGTCTGCCCTCGATGGTCTAAATATAATTGCATGTGTGTGGTTTATTATATATATATATATATATATATATATATATATATATTTTTTCTTTTTAAAGATATGCTCAGGATGTCGCCAACGAATAAGCTGAGAACAGCATGTGAAAAGAGAACAAGAGAAAAAAAAAACTGAAAACTTGTATCAATGTGATAAAACTTCATGGGATGATCAAAACCTATTTTTCCTAGGAGCACCTGAACTGGTTCTCCAACCATGGACTCCCTTATTTTTGCACTTGACTTTGATTTGAATATCTCTCATTATTATCAGCTTTGCATGTATTGTGTAGCTCTTGCTGCATGCTGTCTTGCACTAGTTTCATGTCTCTCGTTGGTTGCCCACCCTAGCTACACTTATGCCTCTTTGGCTCCTTGATAGCTGCATGCTTGTAATGTCAGATTCACTTGTACGTTGCTTTGCACAAAAGTGTTTGCTGAATAAATAAATGTAAATGCCATAAAGAGTAACTGTGAAGGTTACTTAATGAAGACATCTGAGGTGCAGTGATCTCCTTCGAATGTCAATGTAGGGCATTCAAATTGAATGGAGCTCTAGAGAGAAGTCCCGGCCTGAGAGCTCTCCACCTCCTTCAAAATGCATCCATTAGTTTGTCTTTCAGTCAACGGTTTCCTCCACATTCCCATGTAGCACTGCTCCACACACCTTGCCTCCCCATACATATTCATGCACTGCTCACACATACAGACAAACAGCCTTCGTTGGTTGCACGCTGTCCATTTCCATGGTACCCCCAGTGATTGCTGTTCATGAATAACAGCTCCAGCGTTTCCGGGGCCTGTTCCACCCATGGTCACAGTACGTCTCCGAGTACATAAGGGAGGGTAAAAGCCAGGTCCAGTTTCAGGCTGTTTGCTTAAGCCGGTCTCTCATCATTAGCAAGGGTTATGCAAGAGATATTGCCAGCATCAGCCATACTTTACCAATTATTCTGACCTTTGACTTTCCTTATCTCTCTCTCTCCCTCTCACACACACAATATGCCCTGTACTATGCTTTGGTCTGTAAGCAATATTTAAAAGGAAGTAAAAAATGTGCAAGTGTCTGCATGTGAAATTTATGCCCAAGGTAATAAATGTACTTGGTGACCTCTTTATCATACCATAAAACATCCAGGTAGACTATGGAGGGAGGTTTCCATAACAACGGATGGGATGTGAGAGTGGGAATGCCGATGGATTTCAGTGTTTACCTCTAATGAACAACAGCACAGGAGAATTCTACTACCATTGTTGTAAACACTCAAAAATTTCTCAGATTACACTGAATTTAATATGTATTTAACATTAAAAGTAACATTTTATTGCATTATTATACCCAATACAGCACTGAACATTTTATATTAAAATGTCCTTATAGGTTATAACAATTTCAATGAATAGCAGTATATTTAACTCTAAAATCTGCTGGGTTTTTATGTTCACAATAGAATTCTGCTGACTTTAATTTCAAGCTGTGAAAATTTTTCTAACTGACCATTCTAAACACCTTTTTATGTTTTTTTTATTACAAAAAATAATGTCCAGTCAAAAAAAGTGTAACATTATTCATGTAAGATGAATAACGCTTTGGGCGTATTGTTTTTCGTTTTATTGGTATTATTTCTTTAATCACTTTATTGCAGGTTTACGTATTTGAGAGAAATTTATTTTATTCATCTGAAGTTGCAAGATTGGAATACTATTTTCCCAGTAAATCATTCCAAGAGTAAAAACAGAGGTGTCTTTCTCTGAACTGTGGATGACCCGCACGGTTAAGGTCACTCCTTGGTCACCTGCTCGTGCCACTATTTGGTATTTGTACACCGGTCTGCCACTTAACACAGTTCTGCTTGCCTTTATGTGTATGAAGGCATGCGTTTTTAAGCGCTAAGTATTTATCTCGGATTTTAAAGATTACTTTCTCGAAAAGCATGAAAAACAGCGTACGCATTTTACTGTCTGTTGTGATGGTTATACACGCTTGAGATGAAAATGAATTTTGCAACTGAATTTCACCAGACTGTTCAAATAAATGGTACTGAGTGTTTTGGAGATTAAGAGAATTATAACGATAAATATGACTGAAAACTTGGGGGAACAACAATTGTAAACTGGCAAATCTGGACTTAAACAAACGCGTCTTGTTTATAAAAATATATTAACGTATATGAGGAATTATAAGTGTCTGTTATGCAATCGATGAGGTCAATATTTGTTCTATCAAATATATCTTATAGAGTAAAAAACAATATCGATGAATAAAAAACGTGCTCTTTTCCGTTATCAGTACATTATATTTTTCATTATAAGAGGACTCGTACTAGATTTGTGGTGTTCTGTTTTATCTATTTAAGGTATATTTTAGTGACTTTGGAAAGATGACGATTGAAAAAGGTCTATTCACCCGTTAGACGCGCGAGTCAAACAGCGGGGATGTGTAAAACTGCCAGCAAAACGTTAGCAATGTAACATTAAAGAGGATATTTATGAAATACATGCACAAGTTATATGTGCATCACAATCACATTCCGATTTTACTTATATTGTGTAATCATTTGCCCTTTTTTGTTTCCGATACTTGAATATGCTGATTGTTATAATAATTATTTTACGATTATAAATGACATTGTCATTGATATTTTTAAATTGTGTATATAATGTGTTGTATGCACTTTTTAAACTTCGCTATTAATAAAATAATTAAAATTGAACGGGTAGTAATATTCCCGTCTTCATAATATGCAGTTTTCTCTGAAAATACTGATGTTAGCTGACAATTAAACAACAACATAACTTGCCTGTATAACATAAACAAGGTATTTCTTGAATGGAAAGATTTAAGTCATTAACAGCTTTTACTTACTATTATAGAATATCTTGCCTCAGTGTTACTATCCTGTTTCGGAAAATGAAATATTTTTTTGTGAAACGAAATGTGAAATTACTTTTTAAATTATGACAAAAATAATTCTAAAATGTAGTTCTATTCGAAATATTTTCCCATTTTATTTATTTAAATATCTAAATATGTATATATATTTGTTTGTTTGTACTTGGTTTATTTTACTTTGTTTGTGGTTTAATAATAAATAAACAATAAATCAATATGGTCAATGGGGCCCCTTGGAAGCGTAGTTATCCTCACATCTCCGGAGACCTTGGTGTTTGTGTGTGTGTGTGTACGTACGTGCGTGCGCGCGCCCGTGCCCTGCGATGGGTTTCTCCGTCTTGAGTGATTCCCTGCCTAGCACCCATAGCTTCTGGGATCCCATAGCATCGGATCCCCGGGGCCCTGTGTAGGATAAGCGGGTATGGAAAAAGAATGTAATTGGTACAATTGTGTAGTAATATTTGAAAAATTTACAGACAAAAAGCTGGCCTGCAAGTACACAAGATGTTTATTTGATATTACATTTTGATTCCACTATTTATTTTTTTTACTGTTGGCAACAGTGCTGACTCATTATTGAACGTGGTTTTACTGAAACTCAAATATGCAAATAAGCTGGAATCTTCTAATTTAAATTGAATGATTGCTCTGATGATTAATTGTGGCACATTGCAGGTGGATAATGCTTATTTTTTTATCAAACAATGCTGTGGGTGCCTATATGTATAGCATAGCACATTTGAAATGAAGGCCAAATTAAAACAATCGCGTTATTTCATACCTTAAAAATATAAATAGGTTAATGCTTTTAATGTAAATAATTCACGTTTGATCAGTGTTAAATCCATGCAGTTATGGTTTTTTCTGAAGCAGAACAACCTTGACCAAGTCAGCTATTTAAGTGTTACGTAGGTTAATTTAATGCAGTTACGGTGCCCTCTAGCGGAATTAAGAACCCCGAGAATACAGTAGGCTGCCACAAGGTCTCCATCGAGACCGCATAAACAGTACTGGCGACCGTTTATCTTACCCCGGGCAATAGAGGGCAGTAGTAAGACGTGAAAGATGAAGCACGCGAAGTGAGAATGTGGCTTTGCTCAAGTCGTGGGACTGAAAATTTCTCAAAAAAGCAAATCCATCTCCACGTTATGTATATGTGCATTTTTATCAAATTCCCAATATTTTTTGTATTCCAATTATTTAATATCCCACACAATTAATAATAATTATAAGAATAATAATAACAACAACAACAAAATTATTATTATGATTATTATTATTATTATTATTATCATTATTCTTACTACTTTATCGTTTCTCCGAGCGCAGAATTCCACGGATTTAAATGTAGCAAGAAGAATAATAGATTATTCTCACTGACAGCATGACTGAAGTATGTTTAATGCAAGCGTGAAATGATACTGGACATGGCATGTTCCCTCTGTTACGAGTTTTGTCCATTACTCTTTCGGGGTTTACTTTTCTGAACAATGACAACGTAATTAATCTACCAGCATCTGAAAATCAAGAACAAATATTATGGCAGCAACTGAATATTCGGTGTAAGGATTTTATGCAAGCGTTCCTTTTCCATTATTTATTGGACATACTGTAATGAGGTGAGCGGCACCGAAGTTAATGGAAAATGTCTTAACAAAGTAAAAAAGCACTTTAGTTGAGGTCAAGGACAAATATCAACCCCCTTTATTTTAGTTTCTTGTTTGCACCGTTAGGTGTGGTGTGCACGCTACCCCCCCCTATCAGCCTTCATCAGCTACACGTCAGCCGGGACTCGCCCGCAGTAACTCTACAGGCAGACTGCTGAAGTGCGCGCTTACTCGCTGTAATCATGTTAGCGGGCACTTCGCTAAATAAAGGGGAAAAACCGCCTCATCAGATTGGAACAACTGCTAAGTAGGCTTTAGCGGGCTTACGGAGCAGTACAGTTCAGAAGGAGAAGGATGTGTGTGTGTGTGTGTGTGGGGGGGGGGGGGGGGGGGGGGGGGG